CATCTCGCGGTTCACTAAGTGATTCTCTCTTTCAGTCGAGACAGCACGGATGGACCTGGAGATTATTATGCTAAATAAAATAAGCCAGTCAGAGAAAGACAAATACCATACGATCTCACTTATATGTGGAATCTAATGAACAAAATAAACTGACAAACAAAATAGAAACAGAGTCATGGACACATGGAACAGACTGCCAGCTGTCACAGGGGAAGGGAGCATTGGATGAGAGAAGATGAAGGGATTAGCCAAAGAACATTTATGCAAGACCTTTATAGACAAAGACAACAGTGTGGTGATGTCCAGGGGAAAAGAGGGTGGGCACGGGGTGGAGGTGGGCAAAGGGGGAAAATGGGGACTCTGTAATAGTGACAACAATAAAAATAAAGTTAAACAATAAAAAGGATAAGTTCCAGTAGTAATAACTGAAAACCTCCAATTAATAGTGGCCTAAAAAAGACAAAAGTTATTTCTCTCTGTGAAAAAGTCTTAAGTACTTGTCTTTAGTGCAGGCTTCCATCATACTGAATTACAATGTATAAGGTATCCTGGCTCTTTCTGTCATCATGCGCTTCCTGTTTTTCTGCTGCTATGGCCTCAGATTCATGGTCTATGAGGGATGGCAGCACCTGTGTATCAGGCGAGATGGAGGAAGAGATGAGTATGAGAGCCAAAGGCACCTATGTGCTATCTTTACGGATAGTTTCTTCAAGTTGTCATTTGACAATTATGTATGTGTCGTGTTTGCCAGAATTTAAGTCAGATGGCCAGCTAGTAGCTGAGGGGGCCAGAAAATGTATTGTTTATATTTGGCAGCCACCAAATTTCTTTATTATGAAAGACATGGAAGCAGGGAAGTAGATAATTGGAGACAACTATTAGTCCCTACCATGTTATCTATATTTTTTTGTCTCGCTACTTCTAGACTTAAAAAAATTTTTTTTTTTTTAGAGAAAAGAGAAAGGAGGGAGAAAGGAGGAAGAGAAACATTGATGTGTGAGAGAAACATCAATCAGTTATATCTAGTATTCCCCCAACTGGGGACCTGGCCTGCAACTGAGGCATGTGCCCTGACCAGGAATCGAACTGGTGACCTTTCAGTGTGCAGGACAACTCAACCTACTTAGCTAGAGCAATATGGGCTATTTCTATATTTTTTGATCCACACTACTCTATATGACAATCTGGGCATGTTATTTTCCCCCTCTTATGGATGATTATATTGATTTTTTGGAGATTAAATTAGTTGAACAGCTCAAATAGTGCATGCTTGATTTAGAAGGATAATCAAAAGGCCTGTATGTGGCACAGCAGGGAGTAAGGAGGTGGTCATCTATCATTGCATTACAGAGAGGCCAAATACCAATGAAAATAAGTATTTTGATGTGGAGAACAAAGTTCTATGGAATGGATAGAAATTTTGAGGGTGGAGTGGAGAATGTGTGCGCACGTGTGTTCCCTCATCAGGCTGTCTAGCTTATTTCCTGGGTGAGGATTTATTTGAAAACAGACTTAAAAATTGCATTAGTTATTTATGGCTGGATACCAAATTCCTCCGAACGTACTGTCCTAAAACATTTATCGTCTGACCATTTCTGTGGTTTAGGAGTCCAGACATGGCTTAGTTGGCTCCTTGGGCTCTGGGTCTGTCATGGCTGCGGTCATCTCACATCTTGCCTGGAATGGATCGCCTTCCTAGCACGCTTAGTTCCTTAGCTATTATTGGACTAAAGTATCAGTTTGTCATGACCCGTTGGTCAGAGGGCTCTTTTATTTCCTTGACACGTGGCCTTTATACAGAGCATCTCACAACATGGCAGCTTGTTTCGTCAGAACAAGCCAAGCAAGGCCAGAGAGGACCAGCAAGGTTAGTAAGACGGAAGTCACCATTTTTGTAACCTAATTATGGAAGTGACATCTCCTCATTTGTTCTGTGTTGTTCATAAGATGGAAGTCACTAGGGCCAATCCACACTCAAGAGGAAGAGAGTACACAACTGCATGAATACCAGGAAGCACGGTCCACTGAAACCTTGTCAGAAGCTGCCTCACACAAGCATTTCAAAACTGGGAGAGAATCTTCCAAATACAGCAACTTCACATCATCACATGTACTGGCTACAGTGGGGAAGTAGATAATGTCTAGGTAATTTTAGATTTTGGTTTCAGTATTCAGTGTCTTAAACCACTTTAATTTTAATAAGATGCTAATAAGCATAGCCTCCTTTCTGAAATATAGACAGGATCCAACTCACTGAATTTAATTAGAGAAATCCTAACTGCTTATTCAATGTTGGTCCTCAAAAGATGCAGCTTGTGTATTGCTAAATCCTGAACCCCCCTACCTACCATACTAGCTGGAACAAATTAGTGTTCCTGCGTGCTTACTGAAGGAATGCATGAAAGTGGACTAGGGGCTACAAGACACTACTGGAAACTGAGACCAGTATGGGCTTATTTTTATGACTAATTAGTTTTGTGATCCTGGATTAATAATTCCATCAGTGATTCATGGCTTTTGACCTGACGATTTCACTTAAAGATTCCATCTTTAGTTTATAAAAATAATCTTATATAGGAGTGTTTGTCACAGCATGTACTAGTAAAAATAAATAATTGTTATCACATTATCAATAGGGAATTATCCTAATTATGGAGAACTATGCACTTGTTAAGAATGACAATGTAGATTTACTTGTCATGGAAAATTGTCCATGGTATGTGAACAGCAAAAAAATTTATAAAATATTATGTGAAATACCAACTTTTGTTCAAAACAGGAAATGAAATAGATATGTGTTTGACTAGTCATGCACATATGCTTAGAAAAATTCTGGAAGTATACAACAAAATGATAGTGGTTTTTCCTTGATGGATGGTATTAGCAGATTATTTCTTACTATTTATCATTCTTTATTGTTTATTTTATATCATGGTAATATATATAATATAAAATTTACCATCTTAGCCATTTTAAGTGTTCAGTTCAGTAGTGTTATGTATATTCACTGTGTTGTACAACCAAATCCAGAATTTCATCTTACAAAACTGAACTGATACGCATCAAGTAATAAGGCCCCATTCAAAACATCAAAACTTTCCTAGGCATGTTGCCTCTGGCAACCACCATTCTATTTTCTGTCTCTATATTTGTATTTGACTATTCTAGATACCTCATATAAGAGGAATGATGCAGCATTTTTCTTTTGTAACTGGCTTATTTTACTTAGCCAGTTACAAAATCTCTCTATGGTTCCTCCATGTTATAGCATGTGTAAGGATTTTCTGTCTCTTTAAAGTTCAGTAATATTCCGTTGTGTGTATGAGCCATATTTATTTGTCAGTGGACACCAGGGCTGCTTCCATCTTTTGGCTATTGTGAATAATGTTGCTTTGAACATGGGGGTGCAAATATCTGAGACCTACTTTCAATTCTTTTGGATATATACCTAGATACGGGATTGTTGGGTCATACGGTAATTCTACTTTTAATTTTTTAAAGGAACCACCACATTGTTTTCCAGAGAGTCTATACCATTTTACATTCCTACCAACAGTTTACCAGTTCCAGTTTCTCCACTTTTCTTTGATAGTAGCCATACTAATGATTTTGAGGTGGTTCTGTATTATTTATTTTTTGGTGTGTTGTTATTAATTACTTTTTATATTCACATTGAACAATAAAGATATTCCCATTTTGTAAAAATTCAATGACTTTTTTCCAGTATTTAGTATTATTTCTCTTACAGCAGGTATAGCATTTATTTCAGATGCAGTAGAGAATTTTTTGTTAGGATATTAGGGTTGATTTTTAGGATAAATTAGAAGCTTGGTGGTGAGGAATATTTTGGGTTTTTAGTAAAAAACTTTGACTGTTATGGTAAATACCTTGTTTTTAGGCACTAGAAGTTGGAAACACCAGACTTATCTATCATAATAAAAAGTAACTCCTGATTTTTTTGGAGAGAATATTTTTGTTCACCCTTTATTGACTAAACTTATGTTTACCAATGTGTTTTTAAAAACACATCAGCGGTAAAATTTGCCATAAAATTCATTTGCTTTAAGTATACAGTTCAATGATTTTTAGTAAATGTACTGAGTAGTGCAGCCATCACTATAATCTAGTTTAGAACATTTTTTTGGCCCCAGTAAGATCCCTGGTGACCAGAACCTTTCTTGGCTATATAGAATTGGCGGCCAAAGATTTCTTATAGCAGGGCTGTATTTATTGTTTCTCTTAAACAAATGCAAACATGTTCTGTTCACCTGCACCAAATACACACGTCGGCAAGTAGTGCCAATTTTTATTTAGGGGGCATGTAATGATAATGTTTGAAAGGTTTTTGTTATTTTCATACTTTGAGCAAGGAAAATCTTGCATTAGAGAGAAACATTCTGTCATGTTTATTTTAGAGAGTACCAATTAAATATTTTTTAGTTTGTCTTTAGTTTTTGATCTTTTATAGCTGGTTTATTTTTAGCAGATCACAAGATTGACAAACTAATATTGACAGCTAGGTTGTCCTATTTCAATGATTTGCTGGACATAAACATCAAAAACTTCGTAGGCAGGTCATGCTTATAGATAATTAAAATGATAAAGAACTAAATAGCTAGAACAGTTTATCAGAGTAATAAATGCAGTAGCTTGCAAAATTGCTATTTTCTTTCTGTTTCACAAGAGGGCACTCTTTTCTAGGTTATTACTTTTTAACTGATCTTTTGAATTAATATTTTATACTTTTGAAAAATGTAAGTCCTTTAGTGGGATCCATGTTTGGATTATTTTGAGATTAATGATTGTTTTCTTTTATAACTTTCAGTCATTTTTATTTTTTGTGATCTGTTTTATAATTGTGGCATGAAAAAGGGCTCTACAAACAAGCTACTGTTAAATGATTTAGGCATTAGCGAATCTGGCATAAAATAGCTCTTCAGTTTAGCCTTTTTCCCTCTAACAGCTCTATAATGTCTCTATTTTTGTTTGTTTGTGTTAAGGTTTCAGATCGGGTGGAGCGGCGGCTTCAGGAACTGGAAAGAGAGATGCGCACGGAAAGAGAGCTGGTGGAAAGACGTCAGGATCAGCTGGGACTCATTTCTTTGCAGCTACAAGAGGTTTGTGAAAAATACCTTCTCAGACTGTTAATCTTGAGTTTGGATATTTGTTTAGCCATTGTTAAAATGGTAAGAGTTCTTTAGTTGCTGCATGTGACAGTATTCAGCCCACATGAGAAATGCAGCATATTGGTTATAGTTGAGAGGGTGAACACAAACCTCTCCCGGTCAAACCCAGAGTCTACTGCTTGCTGACTCTGTGACCACAGGCAAGTTTCCTAACTCTTCTAGGCCCATTTCCTCAGTGGAAAATGGAAATAAACATAGTTTTAACCTGATCAGCTTGGTATGATGGTAAATGAGTTAATGTCCATTGAGCACTTAACATAGTATGGAATGTGCTCAAAAAATGTTACTGGAAGTATAATTACTCGGGTTAATTTTGACATGTCAGGGGTCAGCAAACTATGGCCAAATGGACTAAATCTGCCCCATTGCCTATTTTTGTAAATAAAATTTTATTGGAACACAGCCATTCCCATTCATTTCCCATTTGTCCAGGGGTGCTTTTGTGATGCAGTGGCAGAATTGAGTAGTTGTGGAAGGGACTGTATGGCCTACAAAGCCTAAAATATGGACTGGTCTGTTATAGAACAAATTTGTCAGCTCTTGGACTAGACTATCGTCAAACCAATTAAAAACAGAGGTCACTTTTTAGATATGCTTTTCATTTTTAAATTTCAGGTTTATGAAGAAGTTGAAAAATTAGGACAAAGAATTTCTGTGTATCTTAGCCCTAGAGTCCCCCAGTATTCAGATTTTACTAGACTAACTTACTTTATCACTTATTTTTGTATACGTATTCACATACAGACACTTTTTTTTAAGGTGGTTGCACACACATGATGTAAATATTTTTACACTTAAGTAATACGATATGCATGTTCTCTTCCTTAATTGCAGGAAATTAACATTGGATCAATACTATGATTTAGTCTATCGGTTTATTCAAATTTTGGCACTAATGTCTTTTTCTGGTCCAGTACAGGGTCATATACAGCATTTGGCTGTTATGGCTCCTAGTCTCCTTTAATCTGGAACAATTTTTCAGTCTTTCTTTGTCATTCATACCTTGACACTTTGTAGAGTACTTGCCAGTTACTTTGTAGAATGTCTTTCATTTTGGGTTTGTTGATGTTTCTTCACAGCTAGACTCAAGTCATGGCCTTTTGGAAGGAAACCCAGAGTATTGGTGTTGAGCCCTTCCCAGGATATCGTGTTAGGACGCACGTAGTGTCTGTTTGTCCCAACACTGATGAAAACTGAACCTTTGGCTGAGGTGTCGTCCGCCCAATTTTTCCACTGTAACATTACTGTGACATATTCTTAATTATTTATTTTATGGGGAGACTCTTTGAGACTTGGAAATAACCTATTTCTTATTATACCCATGAATTTTAGCATCTATTGTTGATTTTTGTGTGAAATACTTATTTCTGTAAGGGAGGCTAAGTGGTGATGTTTTAAAAAAATCATTTTACATATATTAGTCGTAATCCTACTGTAAGGAAGCATTTTGCCGTTTTCTTCCTTTATTCATTCATTTTTATTGGTATACATTTATGAATTCTCATTTTATTACATTGGTTATGTTTCCTTAAAATTTTTGTTTATTGATTTGAGAGAGAAAGCGAGAGTATCATCGATTTGTTCTTCCGCTTATTTGTGCATTCACTGATTGCTTCTGGTATGTGCCCTGACCAGGGATTGGATCCACAACCTTGGCGTATTGGGATGACACTTTAACCAACTGAGCTACCCAGCCAGGGCCAGCATTTATGTTTTATTATTATTATAGAAAGTACATTTTTCAAAATTCCCTTAAAATGCTTCTTAGGTATATATGTAAGTTACACAATTAGAAACAAGAAAACAGAAAGATTAAAAACAGGAGGAATTTTTTTCTTTTCCCAAATGCTTTTTCTCAAAAGTGAAATCCACTCATTTATGCTTAAGATTATTATCCCTTATTAATCAACAAATTAAAAAAAAATTTAAAGTAAATACAGTGCTGATTGAAAATTAGGAACAAAGATTGCAATGCTGAAATTATAATGTAAGCTGATAGAAAAATCTGCTTTTGTTTTCTAAAATTCCATTTTCCTTCATTTCACAAAAGAGGCATACCCGTTTTAGTTGGTAATTACTTTGAAGAGGATACTTTGTTGAATAATTAGATACAGCATGTGGGTAGCTTTTTTTTTTTTAACCTTGATTTTTATACATTTGTTCTCAGAGCAAATTGCATCTGGTGAGCATAATAATAGTAACTGAAGAGACAATTGTTCTCTTTTGCAAGAGAAAATTAGAGAAATTTTCCATACTATTTTCTTCTCTTTGCAAAAGCACAAAATTACAAAGAAAGAGGTAGAGGAAGATTGCTTCCCACCCCCTTTGAGAAACCAGAACCTGAATATTTGCATTGTAATTGTCAGTTTGACTAAAAGCTTGAGCTGTGATTTGAAATTCCATCTCTGACAATACAATAGAGGATCACTATTGATAAGAAATGTTTAATTTCATATTTTGTCACTTTAATATAAGCAGTGACCTATATGCTTTTAAAAGGTGGTTCTGGATTAAATAGTGCAGTGGAAACTGGAAAGTATTTAGGCTGATGCACTTCCCTACTCCCAAGTTAAGTGGCCAAGACTTTTCTGGAAAGGTCATGTTTAAGAAGAGAAAACACTTGGCTTTCTTTTCAATATTAAAAAACACTTATGGAAATACCTATACAGTTTGAGAATAGTAATCGGTGTATTTTGTTTCTGGCTCTGGAAAGAAATTGAATCTGTAGGTGAGAAAGTATGCCTGCATTTTTAGTCATTCTGTCTCCCTAAAATATATAATTAAATGTTAGTGAAAATTACGACATTTAAAAGTAGTTAGGAGATTAGGCATGTTCCTTAAAAATTCCAGGATTTCAGAGATTTCTAGGTATAATGTCATATTACAGGGAGGCGATCTGTGCATTTGGCTAAAACCTAATGAAGTCCTGAGAGCTTTATCTTTTCCCACTTAATTAAAAAACGCTATTGATGATTGGAAATCAGTTGAGGGAAAGCTACTCTCCTTTTCTAGCTTAGAGTTTTTAAGGAATTGTTGACTCTTTTCTGTTATTTATTTTTACTTCTTTTCTGTCGGTCTGAGCGAAAGGGCTCTGCGCGCTCTGGAACGCGCTTCATTTAAGGTTCTCATGGCTGCTGCTGTCACACGGATGTCGGCCTTCCGCAGTTCTGTACGGATCTTCGCTGGCCTGCGGGCCTCCTGTATCACGGGTGAAACCGCGGGGTTTGGGGACCTCAGCAGAGGTCTCTTTAGAGAGATGAATGTTGCAGTTCTGCAATAATATTCTTTTCGTATGTCTTTCAGTTTTAAGTGGTGGTCTAGTGTTCTAAACTTGTACTAATCAAATTCAAGTAGAAGCCCGTAACCATCATCAATCTTCCCGTTAAACCATTGTACAAATAATAAAGTGTTTCACATTATCTTATGTTTATCATAATGCAGACGCCTTTGATCAGATATGGAATAGTAAGGTAACCTGGATTAGTTAAATATAGTGGAGTGTGAGGGATGGTGGTTATTAGGGTCACAAAAGAGGTATTTCGACTGTAATGCCAAGTCAAAGCACATGCAGGTCCAAAATTCACGTAGAATCCTAGACAAAATTTCTAACTCTTGACTGTGGCGTTTTGGAAATTTCAGATTGGGTTTTTATTAGCTGTTTCTTGTATATTGAATGTTATTTCTTCATCTTCAGTTGAATTACTTAAAATGAAAAACAGGAGATAAAGCTAGGTGTATATTTGTATGCTTTTCAGAGCATGTGATAGCCTATTAACATGCCAGTTCCCTCACCAGGAATAGTGCCTATGACTTAGGGGGAATGGAGATGCCTTAAAGTTTAAAAGTGCATCGTGGGGAAGTCTATGAGGCAGGCGAGGCATGGAGTCTTAATGGAAGATGGTGGAGATTAGGTGAGGAATTAAGTGTAGGGTGAGAGCTCAGCACCGTGGTTTTTCAATCTGGAAAACTAGATTATGTAAGCTTCATCAATAAAATAAGGACATATGCAGAAAGGTTAAAGAAATTGATACTGGCTTCCCCCCCCCCCCCCCCGGAATATTTTCCTTTATCTTGTGGCATCTGTGCAAATGATGAAAAACCTAATAAGGAAGTAGCTTTTCATTCCTTCTCAGAAATGTAACTGTGGTTCCAGAGACACTGGGTAAAATGGACACTTTGTATAAGAAAAACCTTGGGTACTATTTATTGCTGTATTTAGTTTGGATTCATTAAGTGAAAAGTTTCTAAGGAAGTCAAGGGTGTTTTCCTGATGTCCTCTCAATAGCGTTAGCATCTCCCTTGAGACTTCGGTGTCAGATCAGAGGAAAATGTAGTCTGACAAATGTTCTAAGGTGGTCACTGTTAACTGCTCCTGCATGTCTTTTGGTGATTACCCTACCTGATACGCAGACATAGATTTTGAACCCCACTTCACTTGCCTTTCCAGGGATGAACTGGAAAGCTTCCGCTTGGACATTCACTTGACACTCCTTCTTGTTCCCATAGTCAATGCCCTTTTTTTGGTAGTTGTCCCCCACAGTTTCACATATTTACTGGTATTTTGTAGCAAAAGCCTCCCTTTCCCCAGTGATATTATTCGATACATTTTATATAAATGCCTGTTAAATTATCCTCACTCTGACCATCCCAAAAGCTTTCTTGGGCTTTGAGAAAAGACATGTGAAATTTACAAGTAAATGAGAGTTTAAAAATACAGTAGAAGTTCTGTGGAAAGCACAAGGAAAGCTCACAGGACGCCTCTTATTTTCCCATTCCTGGGGAATGGGCTGTAGAATTCAGTCGTTTATCAGGCGCAGGTGGCCAGGTGTGTAGCAGGTAGAGGGTAGCACAGGCAGGGTGACACACACAGGGCCCTGACTGCCAAGGCACAGAAGGCACGATCACAACGGGACAACCACACAGGTATTACT